GTCCGTTTGGGGAACGTGCGTGTTTTAGCCAGCACCTCAGGGGATTCTGATGTAGGTCATCACCCAACTACTACTTGAGGCAATCTGGCCTCAGGTGGCCCACGGACAGACTTCATCATAGTTCCATAAGCGGCTGTGATAGAAATTCAGGTTTGTGCGTTCATTTTCCTGGAGCGGATCCCTGTCTTTCTTTGGATTCTCAAAGGGATTCTGATTAAATAGCACTTCTGGCATGTAGAAAGGTGACACCATAGCTGCACTCTGCAGTTGGCAAAATAGGGAACGGAGAGTTATATAAATTGGCACGACCACTTTAGCGCATGAATAGAAAGAAGTAAGTTCAGATCTTAACATAAATTAAAATACTGGACCAAAAAAGGAGAGAAAATATTTGATAGATGTCCCAGGGCACAGGCACTCAACGTCTTCAGATCTCTGCTCTGTCTCCTTGTCAACAGATGCACCGTCGTTCCCGCAGCAGGGAGGAAGCGAGCGGCCGCTGCAGGCGAGTGAAGTGTTTCCGCAGACTTACAGATTGTTTTAGCCTGAAAGACTGGCCAAGATGTCCAGATGTTGGCGTGGTTATCACTATGACAGAGATCTGTGTTTTCCTGCGTTTCAGGTTTTTCTTCCACTCACTGGAGTGCTCAAGGGCTATACAAATAGATGTCAAAGAAAGGTTGAAAAATTGAAGAGAGAAAAATTTTATCAGCGCCAAAAAGAAAAGAATCAAGTGAGAAAAATAGGAAGAGGAGGAAAAGATAGTGCTTACATTCCTGAAAAATGGATTTCTCTTTCAAAGGAAGTGTTTTATCTATGTGACCAGGTGCCATGAATGGAGCTTCCTGTAAATGTTGCTGTGACGTTGCTGTGCACTAGGAGGACCTGCCACCTTTGCAGAGAAGCATCGAGGTGAAAGGTCACTGGATAAAGAGTAAAGAGACAGGCCCCACCCTTGTGAGTGGGAGTTTTGCATTAGAGGGTTGGCCTGGGCTTGGCTCTCTGTGTCCTCGGTGACTAAGCCCCTCTCCTGCCCCTTCCTTTGGGACCTGATCTTGCTCTGTGCCCTCCCTGTGGGCTCGACATTCTAGAGCAAGGCTGCCTTGCTTGGTGCACATTTCTGTTCTCTCGGTTCCTCCCCCAAAGAGAGGGACCACTGCGCTCCCTCCCACGCCAGCCCCAGGTCCTGAACAGGAGCCCAGGACCCTCACCTATTTAAGACATGGGTCTGTAAAAGGGTTTCAGCTACCTCTTGATGTAGTTACTCCTAGTTCCCGAGTGCAGAGGGGGTCTCTGCTTGTGCTTGGTGGAGAGAACGTGCGTGGGCCCCCGGGCTGGAGACATGAAGCTGGGAGGACAAGAGTCTGACACCTTCCTTCTCTAGGGCCGGCCTTCCAAGTGCTGACCAGCTGCTGTTGCAATTCGGGGCATCCCAGGGCCCTAAGAGGAAGGCAATGTCGCCAGCTGAATCTCCTGAGATCCAACACCTCTGACAGTGGGCTCAGGCGGCTGAAGAGAGGTGAGAGAAGGGACTTCTTAAGGCTTCAGGAGCCGGGAGGGAACCCGCTATGACGTGGGGCCATAGGCAGGTTTTGGTGGGAGCTGCAGCCACGGAGGTCCCCACACCAGGCAGCAAGAGGGAGGGGGGCAAATGCTCCACCCTCCCCTCCCGCACCCTGAGAAGCTCTGGTCACTTGGTCAGGGCTCCCACTGACTGACTCACTCAGACACCAGAGGGCAAAGGGGCCACAAGGAGGCAGCCTCGAGAGCTCAGCCTCCCACCACAGAGCAGCCCAGAGGAGCCTGGAGAGGAGACGCACATGTGCAAGGGTGGGGGCGTGAGTAATGGGCAAGAACCAGCACAAATTCACAACAAGGAAGTAGATGACAGGCTGTGACCTGGTTGTGGCCAAAGAACTTGACCTCAAGTGAACCTCCTTCTGTCTGCAGCGGTTGATAGGAGGGTTGTGGGTAAAGACCCCTGCTGCTGGGTGGTTTTATGAAACTGTCAAAGGATGGTGCTGTGAACTAACTGTATCCCCCAAATCCAAATGCTGAAGCCCTAACCCCCAATGTGACTGTATCTGGGATGAAGGAAACCGGAATATGTCACCCTGAAATATGCCTCTTTAACATAAGAATTATTTTGAGCTGAAGGTAGTTAAGAAGCATCAAATGCAAGTAAAGCTCTCTCTACCTCCCACTTCTGTCTAAAGATGAGATATAAATTCTTCTCCTTTCCTGGAGTTGATCTAGACTTATTTAACAGCCCGGAGACAAGACCAGAGGAATCTGTAAACAAACCTCACCCCCTCAGTTTCTTCCCATATATCTACCCTCCCACAGTTGCCCACCCTTGTAAACCTGAAACCGCTTTCCTTGTTCTGTCATTTCTCCACAGTCACCAGACAAACTGGAGTCCCCAGCTGCCTCCTTGAGCTACTCACCTCTGGGGACTCCCATGTGTAACATGCCCCACACACATGTTAATAAACTTCTGTTTGCTTTTCTCTTGTTAATCTTTTGTTACAGGGGCCCCAGCCAAGAATTAGAAGGATGGAAGGAAAAGATTTTTTTCCTCTTCTACAAGAGACAGGGCCTTTTTGGGTAATTAAGATTTGCTATGGTTTAATGTATAGGTCCCTCCAAAACTCATATGTTGGAACCGAATGCCCAATGTAATGTATGAAGAGGTGGGGCCTTTTGGGAAGTGATTAAGTCTTGAGGGCTCTGCCCTCATGAATGGGATTAGTGCCCTTATAAAAGAGGCTTCAGAGAACCGCCTGGAACTTCCCACCTCTTCTCACATCTCTTCTGCCATGTGAGGACACAGCAATCCTCCCTCCAGAGAATGCAGCATCAAGGCCCCATCTTGGAAGTAGAAACTAAGCCCTCACCACCCACAGAATCTGCCAGAACCTTGATCTTGGTCTTCCCAGCCTCTAAAGCTGTGAGAAATAAATTTCTGTTCTTTACAAATTCCCCAGTCTGAAGTATTTTGTTAAAGCAGCAAGAATGACTAAGATAGGTTAAATGACTTCACAAGGGTAGGGCCCTGACCCAATAGGATTAGTGCCTTGACAAGAAGAGGAAGAGACAACAGAGACCTTTCTCCATCTCACAGAGGAAAGGCCCCATGAGGACATGGTGACAAGGTGGCCATCTATAAGCCAGGAAAGGGGCCCCACCAGACACCAACCCTGCCAGACCTCCATCCAGGACTCTGGCCTCCAGAACTGTGACAAAACAAATGTCTGCTGTTCAAGCCACTCAGTCTGCGTTATTTTGTTACAACAGCCAAGCTGACTAAGGCTGATGGAAACTCCCTAGAAGAGGGCTCAGATATCCACGTGGGGATTAGCTGGAAGTTGTCTAATGGCAAAGTGACGGAAAAAGAAGAGCCTTTGTTGACAAATCCTCTGGCTAATTCTCTTGAAATTCTGAATCTTCTCTCACTCTTTAAAAGGAGACCTAGAAATGATTTGGGACTCGGCAAAGAAAAAGGAGTGTCTTCTTTGACCTTTGGTGAAGATTTCCCTAAAATAGGCAAAAATCAGCAATGAAGGAGGCTTCAGGGCAGGAACGGTCCAGGCACCATGCACTGGGTCTGGGGCATCCCTGGTAGACACAGAAAAGGAGTTCTGGTCAGGTGAGAGGGGGGCTCTCTTGGAGTTGTCTGAGTTCTACACCAGCTTTGGGCTGGGTGGCCCAAAAGGTCACTGTGGCCTCATGGAAGGAGTGACCCCCAGGGGCAACAGAGGCAGTGCTCCTCAGGACATCAGCTGATCTGAAGATGTCTTGGGCATTGAGTCCTAGTTTCGGCTGTGAGGTGGTCTGGCAAGGAACAGAGTGGGTAGTCCATCAGAAGGGCCTGTTGGATCTCGAGCCATCTGGAGGTGGCCATCAAGGTATCCTCAATGGACAGCAGCACTGGGTTGCCCAGGGAGGAGTGGTTTGATGGCTAATTGATACCTGGGCATGGAACCTCCTTTCTTGGACCTTCTTATTTGGGCTTATATTTGAAACAGTGCCAATTAGAACTATTCATGATGTCTTGATGATGAAGCGGATTTCTGCTGATTGACAGTCATTTGGACCTCTTATTTTGACCTCAGTTTTAGTTACTGTGGAGACAATAACTGCCCATCTCCTTGAGGTACCCCCAGGTAACTTAGAGTAACCCATACATGTCCCCATGACCAGACATACCAATATATCCTCCAAATTCAGTGAAAAAAAAAATGACAACTACTTTCACATGATGCAACAACAGAAGGATACCATTAACTTTATTCATATAAATTCTCTGTGATAAAATTCCCACGATAACTTGGTTTGGGTTAGATATGCTATTGTTTCAATAGACTACTTAACCCTTTTTGCTAGGAGTCTATTTGGGATTTTTGCTTCTATATTTGTGAATGTGATGAGTGTAGAGTTTCCTTTTTTGCATTGTCTTAGTAAGCAATTGGCATAGGAATTGTGTTAGCTTTGAAAAATTTATTGACCTACATGAAGAAAACTGCAAAACTTTACTGAGAGATATAAAAGGTTTAAAAAATATGGACTGAGATATCTAATACCAGATGGGAAAAAAATTTAAAAAGTGTTAATTCTTCCCAAATTAATTTTTTAGGTTTCATCATCTCATTGGAATTACATTTTAGAATTTGATAAAATAACTATAAAGTTCACATTGAAGGAAAAAATATAGATAAGAGTAATTTTGCTATGCTGGGTTCTCAGGGTATTTTCTAATGGTGCAGTAGTATATGGATTCTTTTTTTTTAATTTATGCAGGTAAGCTTTCTTTCCAATGCAAACATTACATGGCAATGCACACTTGAACATTTGGTGTAACACATACAAACCCCCATCCTATCTGGCACAGACCCACTCAACATGCTATATTAAGTATAATTTCTATTTTATTTTTTTCCAAAGGGTAGCTTTTCTTCAGTCCTCATGGAGTCAACTCCTTACATGGGCTTTGGTGGAGGTCACGGGGCAGACCCCGCAGGTCTAAATCGTTGTGGGGGTGTTCGGTCCTTGCGGGCTTCCTGGGAGCGGTTCCTGACTACCTTGCCGTGACTGGCACCACTCGCACAGAAATGCAGCTTCACATACGGCCTGGGCAGCACATAGGCATCGAAGAGAGTCGCTTCAGAAATGTCCCTGACGGCTGTGACCACCACTACATTCCAAATGATGAAATTCTTTATAGCTTTGTCTCTAGGTGCGCATGGGGCGCAGTTCATGTGGTGAATAGGATGCACGTGGCCACGGCCCTTGTTGGCACTACCGTTGTTCCTTCTTTTCTTTGTCATCTTGGAAAGGAGGATGCCAAAGAGGGTAGATTTAACTTTTTTAGCAAATAAGTTTTGTTTGTTTGTTTAGCTATTGTTACTAATCTCACCTTATGCAAGGAAATTGTGGTGGTCAGGGAACGTGACCTGTGAAATGTCTGCTTTGGGGAATTCGATTATTTCTCTTTGTAGCCAGAAGACAGCACATTTATACATGCTCCTTTATGCATTCTTGTAGGTAAAGGGTTTTGGTTGTGGTTACACAGGTAGTTTACTAGTTAGAAATTTCAAATCTATCCTATTCCTGTGTACGTTCTTTCTGCTTGTCCTGCCATAAAGTGACAGTTGTGTAGGAACAGCTTCCACTGCAACCTGGTTTCCATCCAAAAATTTTCCTTATGCTTTTGACATCTTCACTGTATGGCTTATTTATTTAAATGGAAAGATCTATGAGGATGAGCCCTTCTATTTAGGTCGAATTTTTTACTAATACAAAATTATGTCTTTTGACCTATTTAATTCTTTTCCCTGTATCCTCTTTTGCCCCTTTTTGAACATTTCAATTCTTGCGTCCTTTTCACTTAAACGTTTGTCAAATATATCTTTGCCTTATTTTTTGTTTTTAACCTTTCTGAGTCATTTTATTTTTAGATGTGTCTTACAGCAGAATATCTTTAGGCTTAAAAAAGATTAATCTATGTTTGTCCTTTTAAAAAAAATTTAATGCATGTGCACCTATCGTAATACCAGATACATCTGATCTGTTTTTGTCATCTTTATTTTTTACTCTTTTTAAGAAATTTTTATTGGACTTAGTTTTTAACTTTTTTTGGCAATGTAAACGATGTTTTGCTTACTTTAATATTCTATGGTAATTTAAAAGTTGGCATCCTTGTTTTAATTGTACTGGTCAGGGTCCTTGAAGAGAGGTGAGAAGGATGTTTCTTCAATCGACTGGAACTTCCTGGGACTTCTTCCCCAGAGGTTCACAGACTGGGAGAGCCAGGAAGAGGGGAGGAAAGACATTTTGAAAACTTCCAGCTGGATCATGGGTGTGACCAGCACCTCCCAATCCTTCCTCCCCTCCTCAGTCCCTGCACATGGGCTCCTGTGCTCCCCCAGGAGGGGCGGGCTTGGCTGGCCCTTTGCACTCCCCTCCCAGCGCTGCCTAACAGGGGACAGAACAGGCTTCAGTCCTGCTGGCCTTGATCCAAACTCCTAAGCCATACCGTTTGGGATCTGGGACACACTGGGGAGTTAGAGGAGTTTTCAGAGCAAGAAAGAGCCCAGGGCTCACGCCCGGCTGCCAGCTCTGAGGTGTCAGCACCTGTGCACTCAGGGCTGTTCAAGGAAGCCATCGACCCACAGACACCCGCGCTATGCTGGAGACTGTAAATCTGCGGGACCTGTGGCTGGAAAAGCATCGGTGCCCTTGGTTTTCTGGAGTGGAGGGAATGGTAATTCAGTCTTTCTCCTCCAAAAGGAAGGAGAGAAAGGGTGGGGGGGAGAAGAGAGGGAGGGGGAAGGAAGGAAGATGAAGGAGGGTGGAAAACACTGAAGTGCAGGACAAAGGCAGATGTGAAATCGGTCCACACGCAGCAGAAACGCGTCCGAAAAACAGGAAAGCACCACCTCCCAGCTTATGAAATATGATCCACCCCCAGGGATATTCAAGTTTGGGCATTTAAGAAAAAAGGGTGTGAGCACGTCCCAGTCCACACGCCTCACCTCCGGGGCGTTTTCATGGAGATGGCTGGCCACGATTCTCGGCATTACCATGGCAACCGAGCACCCTCCTCTGGCAATGAGAGGAGGAAAGATGGCCACTGAGCTGTGGGATGCTCAGGAGGTTTATAGCAGGGCCAGAAGCAAGCTTGCGGGGATGGGAATAAATGGGGCTGAACACGTGAGAGGCTCCCCCCACTTCTCTGAGCCCGGCTAGAGAAGAGCATTTGTCTGAGTATGTGTTCTCAGGGTGGTTTCCCATGGGGAAACCTTCGGGACGGAAAAATTCTCACTGTGTCCTTAGTCTAAGGAGACAAGTCTGCTATGAGTCTGCTTTCTCCATGTGTCAGAATAGCATGTTTTTCGTTCTTATATAGCTAAGGGGAAAAAAAGGTTTAAAATAATTCTTTTGTAAATACACAGTAGTGCACTAATGCCTGATACTTATGGAAAAGAATTGAAAGATTATAAACAAATAGAGTGTAAACATAAAACACAGGTGCCCCACCCACCTCTGCACACTGCTCTGCAGAGCCCTGCCGCGGTTGGTTGGAGCTCTGCGATCCCCACTTCTGCCTTGGTGGGTTCGGCCACTGACGGGGCCCCAGGACCCTGAGGCGGCCTAGTGAGGGGTCTGGGGAAGCAAAACACTGGCCACCTACAGAGGCAGGAACTCATCCCAGGAACTGGAAGAACAGTGGGATCGGAGGACACAATCTTTTTCCCAGAGACTCTGAGCTTCTCGTTGCAGCTGCAGACGAAGACCCCATGCTCTGCACCTGCAGCTCAGGCCTGCGGCTGGCCGCTGGGACAGGCCTTGGAAAGCTCCTCCTGCCCCTCCCCTTCCGCTCCTCCCCTCCGCTGGCTCAGGCCTTCTCTCTGCTCAACCATCTTCACAACGCGGCTTTCAGCTCTCATTTCTTGGTCACAAACTTCTTTGTCCATGAGCAAGCCCCTCCCCACCTCCCCGGCTCTGCAAATACGTACAGATGAAATTGGGGACAATGAAAAGCAGCTGCAGCCCCTGTGGGGGCCTGCGGTGACTCCAGGGAGGCAGATTCCAAGGCAGCCTACAGAGCCTAAGGGGGTTCTCCTGGCCGCTGATACCTGGCAGGATGGTAGAGGCTGGGCACAGGCGCCTGGGGCCTTGCTCTAAGGGCGGGCGCTCTGAGGAGGCTGCTGGAATAGCCCTTCCCCATGGGAATACCCACCACACCGTGGGGCCCTGGGTTTCTGCCACCTCCCCTCTCAGAAACAACAGGACAACCGTCAAGGTGGGGCCAGCCAACAAGCACAGAAGCACTGCAGGACCCTGGTCTCCCAGACGTCTTGGCTCTGGGGTATTTCTGGGGCCCACCTGTGTCCTGTGCCCACTGATGACACAAATATCCAAATCACATGGGTTCTCCTGAACAGCTGGGAAAAGGCAGGAGGTGCACCCTTCTACAACACGGAGAATTTCAGACTAGCCCTGAGTGGTTCTGTGGAATAGATCAGAAAGCAGAGCGTGTAGGAGAGTGGAACTCACAGGACAGGCGGGGCAGACAGGGACAGTGCTTCATCCAGAGGAGCTCTGGTTTGAGAGCCCTGCCCAGAAGGGCTGTCCTGAGTTGGATGGAACAACTGCAGCGTGTCTTATCAATTCAGTTCGACACTCAGGAAGTCTCCGCGACCTTCAGATTAGAGTAACTAAGTAAGATGTCCATCGATCACTTTTATCCCCCAAGCAGTGTCAGGCCTCCTGGCATGTGACTACAGCTGGAATATTTTCAGGGCCATAAGTTAGGTCCACAGACAATTGACAAGAAATGCAAATCAGGTGCCAATTCACAGTGGAAATTCAGAAAATTTCCATTTAAATTGCTAATCAAGCGGAATCCACTTGCAAATGTAGAAATCAACATGTACATAAATTATCTGGAAAACTGCAAAGCTCTGTAGAAGACCTGGCATCAACTAGTCTGTGTCACATGACAGAGACATCGCAATGTCTCTGGATACAGTGACCCTCCCAACATCATTCAAGCATGTTATTGTTGAGCTCTCTAGAAAGCCTGGGGACCAGCTCTTCCAAAATGTATTTCTCAGAATGAAAATGTTGCATGACATGGTTATTAATTAGTGTTTTACACACACTCTGAAAGAAATCTGAGAGATATAGCATCCCATATCCCCTCTAGGAAAATTAAAATACATGATGGTACATTCCGGATTCTGAGAAGCCCTGCAGGACAAAACCCGACTTCCCCTGGTTGATTTGTTGCCACATTTCCGGGAGGCAGTAGACTGGAGAGGGTGCCTTTTGGGTGACACACCTGTTCCCACCGTGGGATGGGCACGTTGGGAAGTGCTGCTCTACAGCCAACTGTGAGTTTTGCCATCACCAGTGTAATTGCTTACACTGTCACGAGAGACAACGCCCACACCAGTAAGTAGGGAAACAAATCGCAGCTGCTCCTCTTTAAGCCGACACCCCACTGCAAACAAGCGACCGCTTTGCAGGCTTCCCATCTGTTCTGTCTGTTCACGTCGAAATGAAAACCCCCTGTCGGACTGAGAAACGGATGATCTGTGTTCAACCCCTCTAAGAATGGCACTAAGTTGACAGCAAACACCATCCCTGCCCTGCTCCACAACCCACCATGGCTCCCCATTGCCCATCAGGGCACCTCATTATTCTGCCTGTCCTGCTGCTTCTCCCATCCCTCCTCCCCTCCTGAGCTTCAGTCCAATTGTGCTTCTCATTGCCCCTCCACCGTGAACTCCTCTGCTCCTGCAGAGCAAGCTTCTCTTCTTCCGTGTACCCATGGCAGGGGTCAGCACGCTTTTCCCGAAAAGATCAGACAGTAAATGTTTTAGGCTTTGAGGGCCATACGATCGCTTCCAAAACTCAGCTCAGTCATCGTAATGTGAAAGCAGCCAGTGATAATATGTCTACGGACAGGCATGGCTGAGTCCCACTAAAACGATTCACAAAAACAGGCTCAGGTGCTGTAGTTTGCTGACCTTGATCTATACGATTGCCTGTTCTTTAAGGATGATTTCTAGTCTTATTCTGTGACTCTTTCATCCATAACCTTGACAAACATCCTTCATTTTACTTTCTCACTGGTCATAAGGAAGGGGCAGAGATTTAACGGGAAACACCTACTGTGGTCTAGCTTTCACATGGAAAATGCTGTTGAATTCTCCCAGCAACTATTATTCCTGCCTTAGAGATGACGGCCCAGGCCCAGAGTGACATGTCTATGAAAAACAGACTCATCTGCATGATTCTACGACCCCGAGTGTCCCCC